GCCCTCCTGCTCCCTTTGATCCATGTTGGGATTACCTCCCTTTGGGCTTGGAGGATTGTCTCCTTAAGAAGCAACCACTCTTCTTGGACACCTGGCTCCCCTCCCCTCCAGAACCCTCAGTGCTTCCAACTATTCTCCTTAGCTCATTAAAGTCCACCCTCCTGAAATCAAGGGCTGCTTTTAAGAAAAAGGAAAATTAAGTAGGTGGCAAAAAATATTTTGGGCAAGAAATATTCTGAGCAGTGCAATACAAGCACACTTTTTTTTTTTTTTTTTAAAGCAAATGAAAAGGTCACAGAAAGATGCATTCAATAAATATCTTACTTTTTTTCTTATTCTAAAAATAAATATGGGTGGAAGGGGCCTCAGAAGGTTACTTAGTCCAAGCCCATGATTAAAGCAGGATCATACTTATCTAAACTATCCTAGACAGGTTTTCAAGAACAGATTTGAAAAAACACTTTGAAACAAACGCTCCCAAAATGACTATCAGACAGTAGGTGAAACATCAAAAACACCCTTTTATTTGTCACAGGTGAAGCAGAGGGATGAGGGTACTCTCAATGTCCTGTCACTGTAAGGACAGGAAGTAATTGATTATAATACCTTCAAGCAATCCAAGGATGGCTAACAATCTTAATTTACCCAAGTTCAGGGTTTGAAAAATACTGAAGAATTAAGTAGTGTTGGAGCGATATTGCAGTCGTGCTGATCCAAGGACTTGCGAGAGGAAAGGATTTTTGTGGGTGATCTTTACTGGATAACTGCATGTTGGGATAGACTTACAGAAGTTTGTGCAATGCAGTCCTTAAAAAAAAAAGCAGCACTGAATTTGAAAGCATCTCCTCCCCAGCTATACAGTTGGTCCAATAAAAGATAACCACCCAAAATCCTTCCCTCAGGAAGTAGAAAGTTTTCACCAGAGAATGCAGCCATCTAAACCACCAATTTCATTTAACTAATTAGGGTTTTATATAGCTTGTCACAGGATCACTAAGAAAGCCCCTCAGCCATTGATCACATCTTAATTGACGTCTTCAGTTTCAGCATCTATGCCAAACAGTAGTAGAGTAAGAGCAACAGGACTAGTCAGTTTCACTGCGACATGGAAAATTCAAAGTAGCAGCAGCCAAATCATGTTCAGTTCCACAAATGAGAATCTATTGCACTCAAGGTTTTCTAGATGGATAGTTCTAGTAGTGCACTCACTTATTTGCTATATTAAAAATGTGCAAGTGACCAGATGAATCTTACCATTAACCTTAAGTGGTCTTTGGTATTAAGCCACAAGAGAATGGCTCTTATTAGGAACACTGATGTTAAGAAAAAAAAATTTAAAAATCTAGTGTCTGTTTTAAGGGTCAAGTGAAGAACAGGAGGTTTAACCCAATACTGTGCAACATTATAATAGGTTTCACAATGTTGATTTACCCCCAATTCATAAGCAGTAATACGTAAAAAACTTACTTAAGTTCAGGCAGAGGGGATGGATTTATGAAGAGGTTTCTGAACCTATATTTTTTGAATCTGGAGAAGTCAGTGGTTACTGTATCTTTGTGAGGCGTTTCAATAATTATGCAGGGGGAGATGCCTCCAGTTATCGTGGGCGACCAACAGCTCTGAAAAATAAATGACACACCTTTTAGGTTCTGACTTCAAATGCCTAGCTTGCTTCCAAGACAAGATGCAGGAGTAGCAGAGATTATATTTTTATTCAGTAATTTTCTATTTGTCCTATTGCATGATAACCAGTTTATCCTTCAGCATCCTTCTACACACTAGAATGTAAAAGCACAAAACAATTTTAAAGTTTACTGAATCTTCAGAACTAAAAGCTGATTAATTCAAGCATTCCAGGACACCGGATTAACTTGTTGAAAGATTAAAAACAAAAAAATAGTGACTTCCTAATCAAGATGGAGACAGGATATGTGCAATTCTAATAAAAGCAAGCTGGCTTTGGAGAGGGAATACTTTGTTACATGTGGTACGTGAATCAACTACTCCATTGACTGAATCAGTTTAAACTGTAATATTCACAACAGTTGCATTAATAGAGTTGCAATGGATACCATGGCCTGCTAATCCTCCTCCCAGATGAAAGGTAGATAGAAGGAAAAAGAGCCAGCTACCCCATTTCCTATTATCCTCTGGCTAGGGAACATGGAGGGGAAAAATAACTAGTGCCAAGTTCCAAGGCCATATATCCACTGGGAAAAGCAGCTATAGACCAACTCCTCAGCCTGCCAAGGCCCAAGTATGGGATGAAAAACAAAGCAATAACTCCAAAAGAGGGGGAACAAAGTAATTCATGCAGAAAACCTTGAGGTGAACTGAGATTCATGTCTTAATTTTTTAAGTAAAACTTGCCAGTGATTATTTCCTTCTTGTGTAAAGGCATTTTCAAGTGTGTGGAACACACTCAAAATGTTTCAGTAAAACATATCCCTTAAAAATGAGGGACATAACTGTGGTTACTCTGTCAGTGAGCAACTTGATATCTAACACAATTAGATGCATTCTCCCCAACTCCATCCCACAAAACATGCATCAAGCTCCACTGACCCACCCTAGGAAAGTTTATTCTGCAAAATATTGTATGTGAAGGATGTATGCATAGACATACCCCAGACACTAACCTGTTAAAGTTATTTCCTTTGGCTACAACTTCCATATTTAGTAGCACCTACTATCCCAGGACATTGCACTACCATCAGACAGTTTAGCTTCACAGCACTGCTTTAAGTTCAACGTTACTCTCACTGCTTTCATGAGACAGATTCTGACTTTCCCCAAGATCATAGTCAGACCTTGTCTACATGAAGAAGATTGTACTAGTTTAACAGGAGATATGCATTTTAATCCACTTGAAATTAAACTGTTCCACATCTTATTTGGTTTATTTCAGGTTAAACTGATGCTTAACCAGACTGCAGCAAAAACAAACTTCACTTAAAATACAAACAGCTCTTCTTATCTGCCTAACAAAATGGATTCAAGACCACCCTTTATGAGAAATCAGTGCAACTTTCTTGTTTAGATCAGGCCTTAGGACTTTGCTGTTCCAGAAAAAACTCATTGTGTAGATTTAGAGTCTAGACATTACCTTTTAAATTCAAACCTTAAATCTATTCCAAAATAAATGTAATGTGCAGATAAAACCCATCTGTGGCAGAGCTCAGAATAAAACCTAGGAGCCTTGCGCTTTAACCACTGTGTTCTTCACTGCTAAATGGCAGAATTTTCTTCCAACCCAACTGCCATTTTCAATTAGCCTTTTCTGGGTGGGGTGGTTGCTGACTCCCACACCTAGCTCCAATCTATTTTGTATGTAGGAATGCCTTACCTTAATTTCATATTGATGCTTCTTAGTGACTTTTTCATCTTCTTTTTCCTGAAGATCCTGCTGAGAAAAGAGAATAGTCAGTTGATTAGCACCCAGCCATTACAGCTTCATATACAGTAAAGGACACAGTTTTACCACCATTCTTGAAATGCTTCCTAACTCCATCTTCTACTGGAAGAAGCAAAAGCTCTTCCTCCCTGCCATAGCCCACACAAGGCAATCATGCTCATCTCCAGCGAGTAAAAATGAATCCACCTGCTCACCTCTGCCACTTTCCGTTTCTTGGTCTGGAGAGACTCTGGTGCCTGCAGCTCTTGAGGAAACTCTTCCTGACACGGTGGTGGCAGCTGCTGCTGCTGTTTGGCTTGTAGGCGGCTACTGTAGGGGGAAAAAAGATACAGAAGACATGCACTGCATCAAAAGAACTGCTGCTGGGAAACAGACCCCAATTAATTTGATTACTATAAAATGACAAAGTTACCTGCGTCTTGACATCTTTGGATTGTGGATTCCCTGCCTAGAACAAGGAAAAGACTTACTTCATAGGCACAATGGAAACAGTAGGACAAACCAGAATGCCATACTCAAGGTCTAACCAGCGAGATGTATATGTTTCCCCATCCTCCACACTGCCTTCCCCACCATGATGCATTAGAGGATGAATATTTTACTAGAAAACATGTGCTCAAGTCCACACAGGCAGCTCCTATCATTCCATGGCCATATAAATCATACAAAGCAGCCAGAAACCTCAGTGCTCAGTGAGGGTCATGCATGAAGCACCCTGTCAGTGTTGTAGCAAGGCAAGGGTGAGTGAGGCTACCGCCCCAGGTGCTGAAGTGAATGGGCACCCATAGGCACTGCCCAGCTAGGGCAGGGTGCAGGACAGAGCTGTAAGCAGCTCATTTTTAAGGGGATGCGGTGATGGGGGGGAAAAGACAGCTCCTACTGCTGCATGCACTCCTGGGTAAGCATGGGGTGGAGTTGTGGGGGGGGGGGGGGGGAGAAGAAGGGGCATGTGCCTCTTGGATCTGTGCGCCTGCATGGGCAGGCTGCCTCTGTGGGCTTTGCCCTGGATGCCAAACTTTGTTGCCACAGTACTGCACCCCCACTGCCCAACACTGCTTCCACTCAATGAGGTGCCTGGTGCCAGGGCACAGTTGGCCCTGGCACTGCTGAGGTGCTGCTCGCACAAGTTCAGCACCTGGCCCAGGTCTCCAGAAGAGCAGCGAGTGCCAGGGGGACACCGACCAGGAATGTGACTGGGGAGGGGGCATGTGTAGAGCAGGGCGCTGCACAGACATGGGGGGAGGGGGGACTCCCTGTGCTCGGACCACTGGTGCAGGCAGCATCTGCCCCCGTTTCGACGCTGGCTGGCCCAACCGGGACCCCGGCGATGCAGGTCCCCGCCCCGGCCGGCCCCGCGCTCTGCGCCGCCGCGGGAAGCTGGGGCCGCCCGAGCGCGGGTTCCTTCCGCGCCAATTCGCAGAGCGCGGGGAGACGGCGGCGCCTGTG